TTTTTTGGAATCGATCGTTTATCACCATTCCCCCAACTCCCTCCACTTTAAACCAAACCTAACCTGAAACATCCCCAAACTCGCCGAGCACTTCTTTTCCCCGCCCTGCATAACTCCGGCAGCGTCTCCCGCTCCGATCTCAAGCCCTCCGCGCCTTGCTGAGGAGGAGGAGGAGGAGGAAGAGCAGCGAGCGCGGAAGATGGAGGTCTCCACGGACCAGCCGCGGTGGGTGAGCCACCACCACCCGGCCGTGCTCAATGGGCAGCACCCGGACTCGCATCACCCCTCGCTTGGCCATACCTACATGGACCCCACGCAGTATCCTCTGGCCGAGGAAGTGGATGTACTTTTTAATATCGACGGACAAGGCAACCCCGTCCCGCCGTATTACGGCAACTCCGTGAGAGCCACGGTGCAGCGATACCCCACGGCCCACCACGGTGAGTGCCCCGCCGAGCCCCGGCTCCCACCCGCTCCTGCCCCGGTGCCGGTGGCTCCGCGCTGCCCCGAGCCCCCCGCTGCCGTCGGGCAGACCCTCTCCTGCCGCCGGGGAAACTACGTCACGGGTGGATTTTGGGGTTGGCTTATTGGAAAGAAATAAAAATTTAGGCTTCCTTCCTTCCTTTCTTTCTTTCACTTTCTATTTTTTTTTATTTTTATTCCTTTTTCTCTTCTTTCTCTTCTTTCTTTCTTTCTTTCTTTCTTTCTTTCTTTCTTTCTTTCTTTCTTTCTTTCTTTCTTTCTTTCTCTCTTTCTTTCTTTCTTTCTCTCTTTCTCTCTTTCTCCCTTTCTCTCTTTCTCTCTTTCTCTCTCTCTTTCATCCTCTCTTTTTATCTCACATCTTCTTTCCCTCTTGCTCGCCTTCCTTCTCTTTCTTTCTTTTTCATCTTCCTCTTGTCCCCTTCTCTTTCGCTGTGGTTTCTCCCCCCTCTCTTTAATTGGGTTAACAGTTAGTGTTTTCATACTGTGTTTAGTTTTTGCACGATTAAGCTGCTCTGGGGAAGCAAAGCAAGCTGGAGAGCAGGGGTGTGAAAATGACCCCGCTGTCCTCACGCTTGGGCTATTTAATTCACACTTGGTGAGCTTGTTAGGCTTGGTACAAAACTTTTGCACACATACCCAGGGCAGCATCATGGCGGGGGTTTAAAATAAGAAAGAAACTAAAAAAAATATAGCCCGTAGTGTAATTAGGTATCAGACCTGGTGAGTTGTCCTGAGGGTCCTGCAGGAAGGCAGTGATCCACAGTGTGAATCTTGTTCCTGGGTCACAGCTCTTAGAAAGGAGGTGAAATACCTGGGGCCGATGGGGCCCAGGTCTACGGAGTGATGAGTACTTTGGTGCCATCTTTTACGAAGAAGTGGAGAGATTCAGTATATACAGCTGGAGTTTACCTGGGCGGCTTAGAAAATAATGAAAATAAAATTAAAAAAAAAAGGGGGGAAAAAAGGAGGGAAAAGAACAGGCGGTGGTTTGTGAAGCCGGACAGTGATCTCTGTCGTGGGAAAATCTAAATCCCCGAGGTTTGCAGTGGAAATAACCCCAAAATCATGGAGAAAATGGGATGAGCGGAGTGGAGATGGAGCCGAGCGGGTTGAGGAGGCTGCTCCCAACCCTGAGCAACTTGTTGAGTGTGAGCCTGCATTAGGCTCCGCTCAGTAACTGCATTGTTCTGCTATTAGTCCCTTTAAAACAATTATTTTTAAGGATCAGCAGCCTTTGTCCTTTCTTTCTTTTCTTCCCTTTTAATTTCTTTTTTTTCCCAATATATCAGCAGAAAGTGGAAATGCGGTCTTTCTGATCTAGCCTGAATATTATTTACTATGCTACTTCCTGGAGAAGATAATGAATCTTGACCCTTTCTATTCGTATAACCCACCTTCTCTTCCTTTTGAGCAGCGACTTTCAGTATTGTTCACGAGTGCTTGGTATGGTGAAAACCAGTTTGGAGCTTTTCTAGACACATAGAAGCTCCCCATGCAAACATATGTGTCCACTCTATAACTATCTGTGGTTCTCTAAATCCGTGTTTGCATCTCTCCTTCTGTACATTTAGCAATCTCTATACACATATCACAATGCCTACAGAGGTTAAGGATCTCTAGGTGTCAGAGACTGTCTAGGGCTTTATTATCAGACACAAACTTGCTTCCTTCCAATTGAATAACTGTGTTTTCCATCTTGCAGCCATTCGCTCAAGTTGCTGTGGATTTGGGTAGATTTAATTCTTAGGATGTATTTTTTTTTGGTATTTGTTTAGCAAGGGCCGAAAATAATTAAAAAATACTAGGTGCAATCCCTTAGGAACATTTATAACCAAAGAGAAAAATATTCAACTGCAGAAATCTAGTGGAATTTTTTTCCCCACAAAGTCCAGGTCTGTATTTTAAAAGACAAGTGAAGTGTCCCTTGTCACAAAAAGGATGTGGAGCGTTTCTTTTGAGGCAGTTGGTACCCTCTGCGTGTACCATATCATCGTGAAAAGACCTTTAACATTTTTGTACAGTCTCATGGAAGAAGAAAAGACAAACTGAGTGGTTTGCAAAGTTTATCAGCCCTGTTGCAAAGGTTATTATCATGTTTGTGGGCATTTTCTGGTCTTCTTCGTTTGACCAGAGAATTCCCAGGGTTTATAGCTCACAGTTCTGTTCGGGAAATAATTTTCTAGCTAAGAAAAAAAAAAATTCTGCAGTCGGGACTTGGCAATTTCACGCAGGATCTTTGCTTCAAAATCTTCGTGGGATTGCCTGGAAAACCGACAGAGTGAAGCAGAGCTCGCCAAATCCCGTGTCACAGGGCTGGCACCCTGCTTGGAGGGTCTCGACCCCAAAACCTGTTCCTCAACAGGACGGGAGCTGCCACCCCGTGCTCCTGCAGCTTTTAGAATTTAATCTTTTATGAAGAACGAGGTTTCTCATCAGGTGTAATTTTCCTTGCTCCCCCCGGCATGCTGAGCGCTTTGGGAAGGACGAGGGGTGGTGGTGGGGGAAGCACGTCCCGGGACCCCCACGGGGGACTTTGCCAGGGTGGCAGAGGGATGTGACCGATGTGTCTCCGTGTTTTCTCCGAGCAGGGAGCCAGGTGTGCCGCCCCCCGCTGCTGCACGGCTCGCTGCCCTGGCTGGACGGGAGCAAGGCGCTGAGCAGCCATCACAGCGCTTCCCCCTGGAACCTCAGCCCCTTCTCCAAGACCTCCATCCATCACAGCTCACCGGGACCCCTTTCCGTCTACCCACCCGCCTCCTCTTCCACTTTATCCGCCGGCCACTCCAGCCCGCACCTTTTCACCTTCCCGCCGACCCCTCCTAAAGATGTGTCCCCGGATCCGTCCATCTCCACCCCTGGCTCCACCGGCTCCACCCGGCAGGACGAGAAGGAATGCATCAAATACCAGGTGTCCCTGGCCGATACCATGAAGCTGGAGTCCTCTCACTCTCGGAGCAGCATGGCCTCTTTAGGAGGAGCCACCTCCTCCGCTCATCACCCCATCACTACCTACCCACCGTATGTCCCAGAATATGGCTCTGGACTTTTTCCCCCCAGTAGCCTCTTAGGAGGATCTCCAACCGGGTTTGGGTGTAAATCGCGACCAAAAGCACGGTCAAGCACAGGTAGGGCTTTTGGCTTCTTCATTCCCGCTGCTCGGGAGAGGAAGCTGTGGTGGGGGAAAAGTGGGGGGCAAAGGGATGAGGCTGACTCCTCGCTCCCCCCGCACGCCAAGGACATGTGCTCAAGCATCCGTGTGATGAGCAGCAGGCGTTGAAGCCCTCGTGGGGGACGCACACGACACTTCACCTTCCTCACAGGTTGATCTGCTAGGTTTATAACCAAATTCCCCCTTGTCCAACTCTGACTGGGGATAGAAACAGGCCCAGGAACTCAAACCACCCACCCGGTGCCGCGGGGCTCCAATCCCGGGGGCGACCCGGCCCCTCCAGTGCCCACGGTGCGCTCAGCTGCGGCGCCCGGGGAGGAAGCGAAACCGAGGGAACCGCAGCATTAGTGATCTCTCTGTATTTTAATAATGGTGCTAAATCCCGGCCAACTTCCCCCGCCTGCCCTCCGCCTCGCTCTTCCCAGGGCCTCTTCCCATGCGGCTCCCGGGGATGCGGAGAGGGTTTTCCCCGGGGCGCTGCGAAGAGTTCGCCCACGCAGCCCCCATCCCCAGCCAGCTCCGTGCCAGGGAGTTTGGATCACCCACAAGGAGAGTCCCCAAAATTGTCCCCCTGGCCGCCTTTCCCGGGGGGAGCTGGAGGGCCCCAGCTCTGTGCGCACCCCGCGGAATGGGGTGCGAGAGGCTGCGCGGCTCCGGCTCCCGGCGCCTGCACACACCGGGCTCGGACGCTTGTGTGCACGGAGGGGTGGGAGTGAGCCGAGGGGAGTGTGTTTGTGTGCAGAGGAAAGGGCGATTAGTCAAAACTCTTTTTCCCCCTTTTATTTTTTTTTTTCTCTCTATTTTGTTTTTCCGAGGAGGCTGCTGCGGGGTTGCCTGGCATGAATGAGATCAGTTTTCAGGGTTTTTCCAGGGTGACATTTACTCTGTCTGTCTGAGCAGGGACTGTCTCTATTTAGCTGATATGTTTGAGCTAATCCAATTATTTTCAGACTGCTGCACGCGACAGTTGCATTGTTTATCCAGCGCCAGGAACTTTAATAGAGTCCGGATGCGGTTAGAGTGACAAAAAAACCCAGACCTGTATGTTTTGTACATGAAAGCAGGAGAGAGAGAGAGATGGGGTGAAACAAAAGAGAGGGACAGAGAGTCAAACATCCCGGGAGCGGCTGCCCCGTTTAACCGGAGGGGAACAAAACGACCTGGGTATTAACGGGACGGGCTCCCCGCCTGGCCCCAGTACGGACCGGAGGCTGTGTCCGGGGTAGGGACCGGTTTATTGTCGCTCCGGGCGGTGTTGAGCATCCCCCGGCCGCTTCGGCGCCCGCCGAGCCGCAGCTCCCGCCGGGGCACCCACCGGCTGCGCGGTATTTTCAAACCGTCTCGGCCCCCCTCCACCCTCCCCTCTTGTTTTCCTTTTGCCACTTTCTGTTACTTTACCTTCTTGAAAGACATCTGCGGTTCGTGATAAACCAAACCCAGCAGCAACACCTATTTTTTTTTCTTTCTCTTATTTTTTTCCCCTTTAGAAGTTGATCTTAGCAAGCTAGGACCTCTCAGACAAAGAGGGTTAGAGCTGGAGAAAAAAGGAGGAAGGGGGTGATTTTGCAGGATAAAAGAGGGAGAGACGGCTGCAAATGTCTTTTTGTTGTTGTTGTAGTTGTTGGGGAGGTGTGAGAGAAGAGGGGTTCAGTGCGAAGGCTCTGGAAAGACGGTTGCCGTTTGTGGTTAGAGCACGGATGCCTCTTGCTCGAAGGCAGCACGGGCTGGGGCAGCGGGGAGCCGGCTCTGTGCTGGGCTGGCTCTGCTCTGCTCTGCCCGCCTGAGGTCTGCCACTGCTCTCAGGTGGGCCACGGCTGACCTTAGGTACAAAAAACTTCCCCCACTAAACCAAAGACGCGGCAAATACCCCCTCAACCCTCTGAAAGTAGCTGGGAGGCAGGGTCTGCACCCTCCCAGTTCCTTCCTCCAAGATGGGAACTGGTGGGCAGGGGGAGATCTCCTGCTGCAACAGCCAGGGAGAGGATAAAGAGGTGCCCAACAAGAAGAAGAAGGAGGGAAAGAACTTATGAGGCAGGCTTGGGGCTGTTTGCTATCTCGGATAGCCAGGATGGATCACCAGGCTGCAAATGTGATGGGAAAACCAGAGGGTTTTCTGAAAATTTTGGGTGGTGGAAGCTTAATTTCAAATTAATCAATAGCAGATATTTGTCGGAGTTGTTATGTACTGGCTGGAGCTAGGGAGATGTTTTGCGATGGGGATACTTGATGTGGTTTGACCTGAGGCCAGAGGAAGAGCCCTCCAGGCTCATGAGTGCCCCTGGGAGTGGAAGAGTGCTCAAGGAGTGACACTGGGGTCCTCATACACATCAGAAAGGGAGTCATGGACTTAAACTCTGTATCCATTATTTTGGATGTAGAGGGCTGGAGGCTTCTTGCAAAGCCTGCCAAGGTTTTTCCAGTGCCTATGGAAACATGGGGTCTCCAGACTTGTAGAAGCCCTTAATCCAAAGGTGAGGGGAAATTGTCAGCTTCCCCTTCTCCTCCAAAGAGACTTGTGGGAGGAGTGAGAGCTTCTCTGGGGAGCCCTTTGAGCCACCGTGGCAATCGGGTTGTCACTGTCACCATCCCTGCCCTGCTGCTGGGACACAGGCCTGATGCTGCCTGTGGAGCGGCGCTGGGGAGGGGAACAGGATCAGAGCCCACCAGACTGTGCCAGGGACATCGTCCACTCATGGCTTTGGACCCTTGCTTGGAAATCCTGAGCTTGGGGGGGACTGGCAGGGTCTGGCATGGCTGGGTCTCTTGGGAGGTTGTGGGGTTTTTTTGGGGAGGGAGGGCTTTCCCCAGCCCCTTTTATCTCTGTTTTCCCTAAGTGAACCATGTGCTCTCTTGTTTCCAGAAGGCAGGGAGTGTGTAAATTGTGGGGCTACCTCAACCCCTCTGTGGAGAAGAGACGGCACTGGGCACTATTTGTGTAACGCCTGTGGACTCTACCACAAAATGAACGGGCAGAACCGGCCCCTGATCAAACCCAAGAGAAGACTGGTGAGTCTCCTTCTATTTTATTCTTTCTTCTTCTTCTTCTTCTTCTTCTTCTTCAACTTTTGCTTTCTATCTGCTGCTCAGGATGACAGGGAACCTCAGCCAGTCCCACTGGTCCCACTGTGTCAGAGGGCTGGGAGGGAGAGATGTTTGCAGAGATGGGCCCAGCTGCTGTGGGCCTCAGTCATCTGATCCTCTTGCAAACTGCAAAACAGGTTTAAAAATCAATATCCAGGGCTTCTTGCAAACCAGAATGGAGTTTTCAATTCCACACGGTGCTTCTGGATGGTGACCCGATGACAATGATGTGTTCCAAGCCCTAAGGGCAGGATAAAAATTTCCTAGTGTCCAAAGAGATTATCAGGAATACAGGGTTTCTCCTGGGCTCTCCAAACTTCTGCCCTCCCTTTCTTAATGTGTCACCATCCCCCTTGGCTGGTGGTGTCATGGAGAAGGGACCCAAACTTGATCCCGAGCATCACTGGGGCTTCAGACAGACATTGGTCCTGCAAAAAACTGCAACCATCAGGTCCTGGTGCCACTGGTGCATGGTGTGGTCATTTATATCTGTGCCATCTGGGTCTCAAAAGCTGGCACAAGGACACGAGGCAGAGAGGATGGTGAGTGTACAAAGCCAAGCATGTGCCCAGGCTACAGAAACTGGAGGAAGACAAAATGAGTGGGTAAATGTTTGAAATAATAGTTACAAAGCTGGTGACTGTTCTAAGCACAGGCAATACGTTACAGCATCCCCAGCGATCTGTTCATGAATTTCCCTCGAAGCCACAAAAAGGTCTGGAAGCTGTGGGCATGGATTGTAAATGTGTTAAAGTGTATTTGGCAAATAATCAGGCAGACCACAAGGGGAAAAAATATATCAAGCAGGGCAAAAAATTATGGTCCCTGCTTGGGAAGTTATTGAATGTTTCGAATCAAGACACATTGGGTTTTGTCAGGATTGAAGAGGTGGAAGGGCTCCTGCGGGCTGTCTAAAATGTGGAGGAAAAGTGGCTCTCAACTCTCTGTGGAATTTCTGAGCTGATGGATGGATCTGGCCAGTTTGGTGAGGCTTGTGCCCAGCATGGCCAGACCCTGCAGGCAGGACAGAGCTGGTTCATTTGTGTTCCCCTTGAAAGTCCTCACAGCTCTTAGGTCAGGATCAGCTTCCTTACCTGTGAGACACCCATAAAACTGTATCAGCTTTGTTCCCTCTGTCTCTGGGAAGCATTTGCAGGGTACCTTCCCAGGAAGGGCTATGCTGTGAGGGGCACCAGCAATAACTCTGTCTGGCCATGTGAGTTTTGGGGAAGATGTGGGTTTGCTTCTCTACCCCGCCAAACTTCCTGTGTGTGAAACCTCTCCATGCCCTCCTATACGGGCTTTTCCCATATAGGAAAATGTTTGTCTTTCGCATTTTTCATAGCCTTGTTAGAAAAGAGGAAAAGCTTTCTAGGGAGGGAAGTAGAGGCTGGAATTTTGATTTTTTTGGGCAGCTTTCTTGTTCTCTTCTCCTCCTCCCCCCAGCCCTTCTGTCTTAAACACACAGCCCTCGTTTTCTTTATTTTTTTTTCCTCGTTCTCTCTCTATGTGTAAGGTTAACTTCCTAGGAAAAAGCTGCCGGATATCTGAGCCCTGGAGATAACTCCTAAACAACAGCTCCGTTTCCCCAGTCCAAACACACAGGAGCTTGAGCATATCCAAACAAGCAGAGGGGGAGGCAGAATAGGAAAGCGGCTGGAAGAGGGGGAGAGCTTTCAAAAAGTGTCTGATGGAACCACGAAAGAATGTCCCGAGTCACCCTGAGCCCGGCACATGTAAAATGAACTATATAAATAAATACATAGTAAAAGGTCATTCTTGGGAGAAAAAAAAAGAGGAAGAAAGAAAAGAAGTAAAGAGAGACTTTGTCTTGTATTATCGCTCCAATCTTTGGGTATTTTAGTTAAAGTTACAAAAAGTTGCCCGTCTCTAAATGCGGCCTTTGCTAAATGTGAAATTTGATTTTTCTACTTCCTCTACCCCACCAACTCCCCACCCCTGGCACTGCCTGGGAAAAAGAAAAAAAAATAGAGAAATGTCCCTGATGCTGTTTGCACCTATATTAATTTTCCTTGCTAACCTCTGAAAAAAAATTAGTCAGAAGGCACCAGAGCTGGGCTTGCATTTGCATTTTCTGTGCCTGGATGTGGACGTGCATGTAGCTGTGGCTTGACTGGATCACTCCTGCTGTGAAGGCAGGCAGGCTGGGCAAGACTGTGGATGGAGGCTCAGGGTGGGGATCCAGCTCCTTCCCTCTGCCACAAATTTCCTGCGTGACCTTGGGCTGGTTTCATAGGCTCTGATCACAGCTGCACTGAAACTAATGATAGGATTTGATGGGTGGGAGAGAGGAGGCAAAGAAATTCTTATATGCTGAGAACCCAGCCCAAGCCTTGTTAAATTCAATGGGCGCCTTTGTGAGGGTGCCCTTTAGGTGACAGGGATGAGGTCTTGCCAGCTGAGGGGACTCAGACAGCTCTGCTTCTTCTCGAGAGGGAAGGTGAAAGACCTGGAGATGCTGGCAGAGGGATCAAAAACAGGCAGGTGGTACCACACCATCACTGCCTGAAAAGTCTTCAGCCCTCCTGGAGGCCTTTCCTGTCCCTGTCACAGGCAGTGGCAGCCCCACTGCTGCTGAGATAAAATCTTCCTTTAGTTTTTCTCCCATTCCCTGGTCATGCAGATGCAGAGCTCTCCGTTTCCATGTCAAGCCAAGCTGGTTTTGGAAGGATTACAGCCAATTTCTCAGCAGGCCCATACACAGGCAATCTTATTTTAGGAAAATGATGCTTGGAGCTTTGTGGGTAAATGCAGACACTGAAAGTGCCCCTTAATTAAGCATCTTTATTAGTACTTGGTTCCTCCAACCTCCTCAATTTCACCTTTTCATCACTGCTAGCGCTTGTGAAGCTGTGCCTTTGCTCACCAGCAGCTGTGCCATGGGCTGTGGCCTTATAGATGATATGGGGCAGCTAATTAGTCATCCCATTACTGACATGGCCAGGCCGAGTGGTTGATTAGCGTCAGTGGATGCCATTGCTGGGAGCTTTACAATAGCGTTATTATTCATTGTTTCCTGCCTGCTGCCTGTGTCTCCGGTAGAAGTTGGTACAGCATAAAAGGTGCAGCCAGGGACTGAAAGAGCTTAAAATACTCAGCTAATGATGCTGAATTTTTGCAAGTGAAACACAGTAGTTGGAAATAGTTTAAGAGAAGACAGTAGATGTTGTGATTTATTTGCTTATTTAATGTCAAAATGTGTTTGAAGGCAGCGAGGTGGTGACCAGGCGTGTCTTTTGAACGCGCTTGCTGTAAGAGAAATTACGGCGAGCGCTGTGTAGAAACCCCAAATATCTTCAAAGGAGATGTTTCCCCTGTGTGGGTTGAGCCAAATATCACTGGTTTTTAGAAATTTCCTTAGGCTTGATTTTTGGGTCTGATAAAGCAAAGCTGTCACCAAGAGACTCAATCCAGCCTCGTGCCCCTCCAAGCCACGCATGCCGAGTGTCGGGAGTTGGGGGCCAGAGAGCTTCAGACTCTTCTCCAACTCTTTAGTGAGAACCTGGCTTTGCAAGCTGTTGTCTCCATGCTGCCTTTGGAGCACATTCCTTATTTCATTATCCTGGTGATTTTGAAGGGAGCCCAGTTTGGGTCCATGGCGTGTTCAGGAGATGCGCGTGCATCAGTTTGGGGCTCTGCTCTTCATGGTGGGATGTTTCATCTTCTCTGCTGGTCCTGGGATTTTTTCAAATCCCATGTGCTGTCCCCAGCTCCTGCTTGTCAGCAGCACAGAGAAGTCAGCTAAAGGCCTCCTTGGGACTGGCTTGGTTCAGAGTGGTTTATGGTCAGGCAAAATGGAACTATCCCTACGGGCAGCCTGAGAGAGCCACTCACTGTCAGATCAGCCACTTTGTGATGCTTCCTAGTGCTCATGGACATTGTCTTATTTATTTTTTAGACAGTCTTTTTTGGCTAATTAAAAGAAAAAAAAGTCCTTCCCTATCTAAAGCAAAACCAACCCGTCCTCTCTCCACCTACGCCGCATTCAATTATGATTAAAATTGCAACATGACCTAACAAGAGTTGGTATTAATGCTAAGGCTGTGCCAGTGTCCATGTTTGCATTTTGGGTTTGTTGTACGGTATCCAAAGATGTGGTATTTTCTTTTTTTTTTTTTTTAAATGTTGGATGTGCTACAGTGTGCGGCTGTGTGGGGTGAGGGGTAAATTTGAAACAGTAAGAGCACAAAGGAAAGCATTAAAGGCTCAGTTCTGCAAGGTGCCAAGCATTGCTATGATCTGGCAAATCGCTTAAGCACATGTTTTAACTTTAAGCACATGAGCAGTTCCATTGAAAGCAACGCATTGGGATGAAATCAGAGCTCTGGGACCATGTCATATTGATGAAGAATAGATAGGATGGGGATCTAAAGGTTTTTTTTTTAGGAGCTGTAGGCATTTGCACACACGCAAACCCACATACGCACTCACACAGCAGTCTGAAAACTCCTGTTCCTCCTTCAGAGGCAGAAGGACAATTTGTTTGCTAAAGTTACAGTTTTTAAATGATAAGTACGAACTTATGCATGTGAAAGAAGAACAGCTTTACTAAATTTGACTTTGCTAAGTCATTATCGCAGCTAACAAAAAAAGCTTCTGTATACACTTTGCCACGTAGGTTTTCTTCTTGTTCCTACCCTTTTATAAAATGGTAAATTCTTCTTTCAGGCTTGTTACCAATCCTTAAATAAACATGAAACTTTGGGCAGAGAAAAGGGTGTAATTAAAAAGTTGGGATTCTTGCTCTTTGCCACAGTGTTATTTCCGATCTGGAGCCTGCCTCCTTTGAAGCTGAGCTGAGTTTACGGGACCGGGCTGTGCTTGCGGTCGGGCCGGGCGAGCAGCTGCCCACCCGGGTCTCACCCGGCGCTCGCTGGAGCCAGAGTGACTCATGCCCTTGACTCCAACAATTGCCAGTTCAGGCCCTGACTGCAGAATTAGACCCCTGGGGGGTCTGGGAGAATTAAGATGGAAAGACATGTTGGCATTTAAATAACATTTTCCCCTCTGGAATGGGCTGTGCCAGCGCTGCTAATTTTGATGAGTTCTATCAGAGGTTTAGTACTCACTTTTAGGATGCCCTTTGGCACCTGATTCAGTTCACATATAATTTGGGATTAAAGTACCTTGGGGATTTTTTTCCCAATTATTATTTGTTCTCACAAGTCAGTTTCTGGAGGCCTCTGCTGATGTGCGTCAGTCTTGCAGGGTTGATGTTTTCTTTCTCAGAAACTTTGCTGATTGCATTTTTTTTATTTTAACATGGGTGTTTTTCTCTTCCTCTCTTCTCTTTCCCTCCTTCCCACAGTCTGCAGCCAGGAGGGCGGGCACGTCCTGTGCAAACTGTCAGACCACCACTACCACCCTGTGGAGGAGAAATGCCAACGGCGATCCCGTCTGTAATGCCTGTGGGCTCTACTACAAGCTGCACAATGTAAGTGTGACTGTAATACTCAATAATGGGGCCTCAGCTTTGGTGCTCAATGGTCCAAACTCTTCCTTAACTTGAGGATTTCCAGTCTCTGGCAGTGCCGAGACCTCTGTTATCCCTTTGGGGACCTTGGGGTTTGGAGCGATGAGTCGTCAGCCTTTCCTACGTGGCCTATCCAGGTTGGGAAGGTATAAAACAAGGCTGTCCATGGGTAATGTTAGAGCTTTTCTTTGCCTGAGCCAAGAAAGGAGAGGTACGTCAACACAGAGACGTTATCTGCTGCTGACTGGGCTCAGAGAGTTGGAAAAGACAACACACTGTCCTGCAAGCTGGTACCCTTCCTATGTGTAGCTTGGTTCCTCCAGAAAATACAAACTCTGGAAAAAAGGAAATACGTGCCAGATCATTCTTGGGTTTGTGGCTGCCTTTGTCCTGTCCCCAAAGATGATTTATTTAGGCTCTGTGTTTGTGCTGGTTGATGCAAACGAATCCCAAACCAAAAAAGGACTTGATTTAGTTAGCGGGTTGCAGAGTCTGCTTAACCTGTGATGTGAATTTCAAAGCATCTGTCATGGAGTGGAAAGAGAAATGAAATGAAATGGCTGGCAGATTTAATCTAATATCTCCATGCAAAGCCAGCTTGCAGGAACCAGGGATATGTGCCCCAGGGAAAGAGCTAAAGGGGCCTGAAAAGTCTTCTACTGAATAATGCTGCTAATAAAGGAGACTTAAGGCTACTCCTGTTCCTCTCATTCCACATATGGCATTAGAATAATTATTATGTCAAAAGAAGGAAAAGACTTGCAATTTCTCTGCTTTGATATAATTTTTTTTTTCCACTAGTGGTTGATTGCTTTGTGTTTGGTTTGGAAATCTGGGACTATGTTTTGCCCTTATGTCCACCCATGGAAACACATCAAAGATGTATCGGGTTTCATGGGGCATCCAACCCTTGTGGCATCTCAGTCCCTTCCAATTGTTATTGCAAAGTGTTTGGTTTCTTAGGATGAGTAAATAAGTTTGGATTAAGTAGGAAAAAACCCAACAAGCAACCAGGCTAATTTTTCACCTGTTTCATGGAGGCATCTCTCTTGGAAAAAGGGAAAATGTGTTTACCTTTTAGTGGGCAGGTGTCTTAGCACGCTTTGAGTCTCATGTAGCAAGTAAAGCTTGTCATCAAACTCTCAGTGTGATCACTGCAAACACACTGGGTTGGACCCAGAGTGAAACTCTCAGAATATCATGAGAAAATATTCTGTTTGCAATTTCCTTGGAAAGAAGGGATCAAGGTCAGCCAGCTTCGCTGAGCAGGGGATCTATGCTCATGCTCTGTTTCCATTTTGGCCTTGTAACTACCAGTCGTAGGACTTAAATAATATAATTTGGGAAACCTCTAAGGAGCTGCTCCTCCTGTAGCCAGCAAAGCCCTTTGAAGAAAATAGGCCCTTCTCAGGTGGTGCTGGTGGATGCCTGTTGTTTCAATGGGGCGACTTCTATCCTTGAAGACAGCGTAGTTCCTCCCCATGCCTGCAAAAGATGGCAGGATGATGAGTTATGATGTGTCTACTTCCATTGTAGACATCTGACTGTAGAAATCCCCTCCTGAAGTGTTCAGGATGGTGTCTTAGTGCTGAGGTTCTCCAGAAATGTGCCTGCAAGAACACATCCTTTTCTTTTTCGCACTAACACTGCAAACCTACTTGGCCTGAATTGACCTTTAGATCCAGTGTTTAGGGAAACACCGATCCAGCTGTGAAATTTGTGACATGGGGCAGGCCTTGAGCACATTGGAACCATTTTCATATTCATTAAAAACACCAACAGCTGCTTAAAAGCTCAGCACAGCTACTTACCAAAGTCAAGTAGTATCTTGCCTTATGAGCAACGCCATTAATGGATCCTGCTTAAATAAAACCCCCAGAGGACTGAGCTCCTGTGTGCAACAAAATAACCAGGCAATAGTACTAAAATCTAGATATGAGTGGGTAGATCCTTTTGGTTTTTTTTTTTTTTTCATTTTCTTAAAGTACTTACCAAAGTATTTAGTATTTAGTGAAGTATTTACTAAAGTATGTAGTTATGACTGTGGTGAGAAGTGTGGTCTTGCTCCTTGTGTGTGTATTATCTCCCGATTTCCATCAAGAGAGGGGTCAGAAATAGAGAGGCTGATTGTAGCATGTCCCTCCCAAGCAGCTGTCAGCATGGATGTTGTGCCAGTGCCAGTGGAAGGTCTTTGGATGCTTGGAAGTTGACTTAACCCTGTTTCAGGCTAGGCTGTAGCAAATTCCTGTATGCTGTTTTATCCACCCCCACTCCCCATTTTTTCTTTTCTTTGGATTTAATGAAATTTTCTGGGACCTTAACATCATTAGGATATTTTAATGGATTGATCTGCAGTTGAAACTTACACAGATTTTATGTCCACACTGGGAACGATTGCAGTGAAAAGGCTAATTTTTTTTCCATGGTGTTAATTTTTTCATGGAGCTATATCAGTTTGTTTTACTGTTGATTCCCACAGCTTAAGCAAACCTATTTGTCAGTAGGATATAAGCAATAATCATAATAGTCTTGGGGTGCATTTAGTGAAGCTGTTGGCATTCCTCCCACTGACTTCAACAAGAGCTGGCTCCATTAACACCAGTATTAACAATGAGTAATATTTCACATTGATACGGTGCCTTTCATCCTGTGGCATCCCAGAGTGCTTTCTACGATACAGCCAGCCTGGAAGATTAACCCAACGTTGTAATGACTATGTCTGAAGGATAAATCCACTTCAGTGACAGGACCTTATTGAGGTCAATGGCAAAATCCCATTGTCTTCAGTCAGAGCAAGATCAGAACTATAATGGTTAAGACTATCCCCTGGATTTGATCTGTTGAATATGAGATTCTCATCCTTGTTACTTTAGTCCTTAGAAGTGGGATGAGCCTTCCCACACTTCAGGAGTGGGTGGGGGTATACCTTGCTGGAGGTGCACAGCAGGCTGTCCGAGGCCCATAGAACTGAGTGATTTGCCATTATTTTTGGTAAAATTCATCAGAAAAGTCCCCTTTCACAATACCCTAAAGCAGGCCTGTGTGTCCCGAGAGCAGAGCAGTCAGTATTTTGCATATGATAAAACAAAGAGCATAATTCCTGCCCATAATTAATTGGCTCCATCTGAAATTAATGGATTTCATATACATGCGTTGGGCTGGTTTAATTTTAATTTAGCATGTGTTTGTCATTTTTATCAGAATGAATTTTCACGGAGAAGGTCTTCCCTCCGGGTCTTTAATTTCTCTACCCCAGAAAGAGAGATGGGTCCTTGGCTTTGATGTTTTGGGGACCACTTTTACCCTGCTGTGACTGGTCTTTGAAGTCACTGAAAAAAAATTTCCAGCTTGCTGCTTTGATTGTGCTGGTTCCTGACATTTATCTGAGTCTTTATCTGTTTGGCTCTCGGGTTAGTTACCTGCTCGGAGTGTGAGACCATTTGCACTGGGATGATGTGGCCAGCCAACAGCTTGGATGGCAGCTCTGACCCGAGCTCTGGGGCTGGCCATGGCTTTGTCACCTTCCTGACACACAGCTGGTGTTCCCATCCTTGAATTTCATATCAAATTGTGGCCTGGACCATCCTGTTCTTAGGGATTGAGTGAAACAGGAGAATGTTGCTTTGGGGAAGTGTTCACTGTCTTGTGGGACACGACATCAAGGAAGGGCCAGGACCCTGTGCTTGTTCCAAGACCCAGAACAGCCCCAGTCCCACCACCAGGCTTATGTCACTTTGCCACAACCAGCTCCCAAGCTTGAAACTTTGCTGCTTCAACTGGAAATTGGTTCTGGCTGCCCCTGAGCCTTTGTGTTGTGACCCAGATCCTCATTTGAAGCTGGTGGGGCAGCGGCTGTGTGTGCTTCCCTAAATCTCAGCTGGATTTATCAGGGATTGGCACTCCTGGCCTCCTCTAATGTTGCTGCCTGGTGGGGCTCACCTGGGACTTCTTCCTGGCTTTGAACCTGGGCAACACATCCCTATTAAAAACTTAAAACAGTCCAGGCAAAGCTTTCCAATCCCAGTCTGGAGCAAAGGGCCATCCTTGTGTGTGCATCCTCATTGCCTCAGTGAGGACAGAAAGCCAGGGGAGCAAGTTATGTTGTGTTTGGAACCCACAACACTTTAAACTTTGCTTGTTGCTGTCACAGGGCTGTTGTTGGGCTGCTCATGGGCAGATTCTTCTTTCCTGCCTTTAGCTGTTGGCAAGCAGGGCTGCTCTCTCCAGCTCCCTTTATCCAGAGACAGAGGAATCAGCCTTTTGTTCACCCATTTTTAGGTGAGGTGAAGGCTCTTGTCACTTCTGGTATCAAGAGCCTGGGGTCACAAGTTCAGACTGGAATGACAAACCAGAGATGAGCCTGGTCCTTCCTCTCCCCTTAATTCCATCTTTACATGTAGCAGGGACCTATTTTGTCCTGGACTCCCTGGGGAGAGGAATCCAGGAATGATTCTTATGCTGTGAAAAGGGACTAGAAAGGGGCTGAGGAGCAACAAGTGAAACTTTGCTGTGATCTGGAAGAAGGGAATGCTTTGTTCCTTGTGCTGATTTAAGGTCTTATGGACAAAGAGTTGCTCAGGTCCTTTGCAGGAACATCTTTTCATTGTCCTTCACAGCAGATCCTGGTGCAGGATCCATTTTTTCTAACTTTCGTAGAATGTCCATCAGCACCATCATGTACTCACATTTATTATAAAAATAGTTCTGCCTCAGGGTGATTTACTGCCTTCTGCTATAGGTGAAATCCTGCAAAGGAGCCAGAGCAAGACCCATTTACATCCTCAAACCCAGATTTTTAAGGTTGTTTAGGGACATTGGAGGCATAAATCCCTTCCCAAGTGTAGTTTGTGGGAATTTCATGTCACCTGTGCTAGTGCATGTTGTGATGCTGACTCTCTACGCAGTATAGGATCATAAAATCATGGAATATTCTGGTTTGGAAGAAACCCACTGGAATTATCAAAGTCCAACCCCTGGCCCTGCACAGGACAGCCTTAAGTAATAAGAATAATAAGAATTTCTTACAGCGTGTCCAACAGATCTTTTGCTACCATTTCGTAACCCTGATGGATGCATGGATGATCATTTCTGTTGTGTAGTTTCAGCAGGAGAATTTAATGTTTATTTTTCCTACAGATAACGTTTGTATGCATGTAGAAAATGCCTTCCTGGTCAGCACAGATACCTGTTTCAGCCTCCCTAAAAAAACCTGGAAGCCTTTAGAAATCAAATCAGATTAGCTAAAGAAAACCAGAAAGGATGATCAGAGCAAAATCTTTGGAAAGAAGAAAAATAAGACAAAATCCTGTCCATTTTGTGAAGAGCTGCCCAGCTTCCTAATGGAGCTGTGAAAGCCTGAGACCCCTCACAGCACAGAAATGCCAGCAGTTCTTGCTGCTAATGGTTTTAGATGAGACAGGAAGCCTCAGGGTGAGACGGTGTCTGTGGGGAATATTTCCAGGAGGTAATGATTGGTTTCATACCTAAACACAATGCAATTACCTAATGTGCAGATAGTTGAAATTTTTCAGCTGCTGTGAATTATTCCTGTGTTTTCCTCCTGTGTGGCTCTGCCAGCAATTTTCTGTTGTCTTGTCTTCAGAAATTTCAACTGAGCTTGGGATTTCCTGGAGGGATCTGAATTTTGGGATGGAAATGGAGAGGCTGGGTAGCACATGGTGTGTACAGGGGAAGAGGGGGTCTGTGACCAGCTGGTCCTGCTGGGCTGGGGCATGGGGTACATGGATCCCGTGGTGATTTGGGGAGAAGGGATGGAAGCACAAAAAAATAATTGATTTTTGTTTAGATTAACAGACCCCTGACTATGAAGAAAGAAGGAATTCAGACCAGAAACCGAAAGATGTCTAGCAAATCCAAAAAGTGCAAAAAGGTCCATGACAACCTTGAAGACTTTCCCAAGAGCAGCTCTTTTAACCCCGCCGCCCTCTCCAGACACATGTCCTCCATCAGCCACATTTCACCTTTCAGTCACTCCAGCCACATGCTGACCACACCGACACCGATGCATCCTCCATCCAGCCTCTCCTTCGGACCTCACCACCCCTCCAGCATGGTCACTGCCATGGGTTAGCAAGAGACTCCCCTGCTGAATGCTTACGGTCTCAAAATGAGATTTACTTTATATACTACTTGCATTTTTGCAGGCGTGTGGTTATGGGTCTGACGTCCCGAATCAAATGGGAGAGGGAAAAAAAAAA